AACTTGCTTCCTTCTTATCTACCTCCCTGAAGGGATCTCATAGACAAGATTCCTGGCTTTTCTCCTTTCTGCTTACGTGCCTGCTTCATCTTTAGGTTATGGCAGCTTCAGCCTAGTCTCACACTTTGCAATATACAAAATTAAATATTCATAAAATCATGAAATCCATCTGTAAAACCAATGAATAATAAACAAAACAAAAACTAACTTTATTGTGAATGAGCTTACTTCTCAGCAATGCACTATAGTGAGGGAACAAGACAAGGATGTCTTCTCTCTCCCTCTTTATTTTTATTATCATTAGAACCACTGGTGATCCAAATACATCAAGAAAATAGAATTCTAGGAGTCAAATTAACTGCACAGGAACATGAATTGAAATTATTTGCTGGTGATATTATATTAACAGTCCAACCTAGAGTCTCCTTAAAAACGTTGATGGAACATGTACAACAATATGGTTTGGTATCACACTATCAAATCAATAAAGAAAAAAAACTCAGGTGGTGATATGGAATTGACAGGATGAAAAGCAACTTATATATTGACTAACAGGCTTTAAAATTATTGCTAAAAAGGTCAAATATGTAGGATTTTTTAAAAACAAAAAATAACAAAGATCTATTCATGAAAAATTATTCACCAATCTGAATGCTATCATAGAGAGGATTGCTTTCATTGTCTCCTGACATATCATCAGAGAGGGCACACCTAACCTTGAGGGGGGAGTAAGCTGTTCCAGAGGGACAAGCTACTACTGAGAGAGTCAATGTCTAGGTCCCAGTCCCCTGTTTTCATTTAGAAAAGTCTTCCAATGGAAAAAAAGAAAAGAAAATATTTTGTGTTGCAGTAATAATCAATGGATTGTTTAGATCACTCTTCTATGTATTTTTACATGTACTGTGCAGGTTGAAAAACTTAGAAGTGAAACTGGGAATCAATCTGCCCAGCAAAGGACACGGCTAAAAAATAGAACAGCAGATGCTAAACGTATTCAAGACCTTGAGCGACAGGTATGCAATACAGTCCTTTTTCCTGTATTACATTAGTATCTACATTCATTAATAATCAGGACTGTGGTTTAACTTTGTCTGCTTTGATGCAGTTATTCTGGGGAGAAAATAGATAAATAAAATTACAGAGTGGGGATAGGGAATTAAGGTCAAATAATCTTCATACTAAAATAATGTCCAAGAAAGGTGCTTAGTTCATATAATTGAGAGGTATTTCAGTCCCCTTCTCAGACAGAGAATCTATAGTAAATTGATTGATCTTTTAATTGATCTTTCCCTAGGCCCCTGAAATGTATGTTTTTTACATCCAGGTTTTGGAAAAATATGTGTGTGGGTGAATGGCCGTCTGCCCCTAGTTCATGTTAGAGGTTGATTTTGATACTCTTTGCATGCAAAAGATTTCTCTGCCACTGAGTTCTGGTTTTTTCTTGTTTCATTTAGTAAATAATTTTCACAGCTGAGACTTGCAATAAAGCATTGTGTCAGCTTTCAAATGTTAAATGTATTTGAATTGTTAAATATAAATTATAATTTGAATTGTTAATTATAAATCCCACTAGTTATGCTCAAGCCCTTATGCACTTTCAGTGCACTCTTTGGATTCTACCTTTGGCTTATTGATGGTAACGTTTGCATATTTGTACTGTTCAGCTATGAAACAAGCATCCTTAGGTATGTTTAAGATTTCAGTGTAAATACTATCAAACACTTTCTCTGTCACTGAAAATGTAAAATTAAAATGCTTTTCCTCTAAACTTTTTGAATTTTGATTTCCTAAGTGGTTTTTCATTTTAATTTACTGTATCTTTTCTGAAAGGTTAAGGAAATGGAAGGGATTCTGAAGAGACGACACCCTAATTCTTTGCCAGCTTTGATATACGCTGCTGCTACAGCAGCTTCTGAGGGAGGCGGTGATGGTTCATCAAAAGTTAATACAGTGGATTTTCTTGAAAGAAGAGTTAAAAAGTTAGAAACTGAACTTGAGGGTAAAGACGATGAAGCTAAAAAAAGTCTCCGTGCTATGGAACAGCAGTTTCAAAAGATAAAGGTGACATACTTTACTAAACTTTTAAATACTTATTTTAAAATGTACTAAGCAGCTGAGAAGGATGAAGTTGTCAAGATGCCAACTGGAGCGCAAGTGAAAAACCTCTTGGTATGGATCAGATCAATGCAGATTGCAATCTACTCTGCACTAGTGGAAATAATAAAGAATGCATTACTTGCCTCAGTTTCATCTCTACAAAACAGACTGATTATTGCTTTTCTGTACTATTCAGTAATTCTTTTACAAAGACAGGGGAAGATGAACCAGTAGAAACCTCCTTTGATTCAAGAGACCTTGGTAATTATAGACCAGACTCAAACGTTCTATTCTGAGAAAGGTGATTGAGAACTCTGGGCACTAATTATCTGAGCCCATTTCAATTGATATTTCAGGCAAGATATGGTACTAAAACCATTTGATCACTTTGGTGACCACGATCTGTGCTGGAAACTGGCTTAGAGGGCTGTGGTCCTGGTTGTTTTCCTGGATATATCAACAGCTTTTGATACTCTGATGGCCTACTGGAGGGCCTTATAAACCTGGCTCTTCTCCCAGGCTTTGGACTAGAATGGTTGGAGCCCCTTGCTGCGTGCATGATATATTGTTGCTGATGGGATTCACCATGTTGTTTGTTGTTATATATTTTATTCTTTTAATTGCACTTTGTTTTGTTTTTAATGCTGTGAGCCCCCCAGAGTCAATTGGAGTTGGACAGCATTTAAGTCAAATAA